TCATCAGAATCATCTCTTTGCCAAACAATATGCTTTCCTTCAAAGTAGTTGCAAATAAGATTGGCTCTTAACTAGCAAGTCCCATTTTTCCTCTGATCCATTTTAGTTTCAACATCTTCAAAGTAAATGCATCTATAAGTACTTCTCCGGCATCAGGATCAAAAAATCTCTACAAGAAGCTAATGATTGTGACCTTCCCACTTTCACTTTGCCCAACTAGAGCTGTAGTTTGGACACTTAAAACGTGTAACAAAAAACCTTATCTGCACTTCTGGCCTTGCTGGATATGTGAAATACAGATCCTTAAGTACAATTTCACCTCATATTTTCCAATACAATTCCTCTGCCATCATACGTATCAATATTCAGTTTTCGTTCAATGGCCTCAAACATTTTGTATGTTGCAGCTTGACTTGTTGCAAATGCATTTTTACATGGAGATTCTATCCAAGTGATCTAATTCAAGAATTTATGGAATGCATTACTTTCAAATTAATAATAAATGCAAGTTTGGTATGCACTGCTAAACAGAACTAGAGAGTATAATAAACAAGATTTGATGTTTTACTTACATTTCCCCAGTCGTTATGGCCATCATGATATCAATAACCTTTCCACCACTATATCTTTTTTCCATGATCAGTTTTGATCCATGCCATATGGCAAGCCCATCAGTACTAAATATCCATAACAATGCATGAAGCCAACCCTTGCTGAACAGTGGATGCATAGGCTATTTGCAATTTGCTATCATACTTTTCTGTTGCTTTATTCTCTCCGATGAAGTATGCTACCTACAATCATTAAGAAGAAGCGTAAAATGTTCAGGTATTTAGTTGTAATTTGAGTGCAAATGCAATCTAATACTCTGTGATTGCAGCATTTTAATTACCATTCTGATTGCTCCTACAATTTGTTCAGCCACATATCCAGCTTCTGCATAAGCAACTTGTCCTCGAATCCACATCTTCATCATAAGCAATGACATGGATCCTTCTGCTATGATAAGTACAGGAATGCAAGCACACGATACTAAGGATAGAAGCCATCCTTTACAGAAAGCAATTATAAACCCTCCAATGAATGTTGACATAAATTGAATGAATTTCC